TATGATACATTTAAACTATTTATAGGTTTTATACATATTCAGACAGCTTGAAACTCTCAGATTTTTGAGAAAATGCGTCGATACAACTCCAAATTATCGTGGTAAAACACATCATCAAATGTCAGCTGATGTGTCTTGCTGCTCACAAGACAGTGAAAGGCTATAAAGCCCTTTTTTTAAGTGCCAGTGGTCACAGTGCAAAGCATCATCAAAAAGGACCTGAACACTGAAAAAGCTATAAAGGTGTTGTAAGAAGCTTAAAGTGATCCCTGTGGCAGAAAGAATGGTAGCATGAGAGGTTAAAAAGAACCCAAGGATCACCACCACCACCACCACAGTGCAAATCTGGCACCAACATCTCACACAGACACTCCAAAAGCTCACTTAGCCTTAAAATAAAAGCTCGCCTGGTCAAAGAAGAAAGCTTTGCGTGAACATTTCTGTAGTTGTGTAGAGGCAGTGATGTGGCCTTCATCTGGTGAAAGCAAAAAGAAACATTCAACCTCAAGAACATCATTCACACAGTCAAACGTGGAGGTGGGAATGTGATGCAACATTAGCAAAGTAAGTGGCATAATGAGAAAAGAAGAGCGCGTTCAGATTGTGGAGGAAAACATCAGGCAGTCTGGAGAAAAACTGCTCCTTGAGGTGAAACATGCAGCCAATGTGGTGAAGAGAAAACAATGAGAAGATGTTGCCCAGCCAGAGTCCAGACCTGAATCCATCCAGAATCTGTGGAGGAACTGAAGAGCAGAGTGATGGAGAGGAAGCCTTCAAGTTCAGAAAGCTGGAGATGGACACAAGAGGAATAAAACACCAGTGGAGACATGCAGGAAGACTGTTAGTGAATATAAGAACTGTTGGACTGATGTAGTGGAAAAAAACAGCTTTGATATTGATTATTGATAATATGGACATGTAAACATATAAAAAAGAAGTAATAGATCAACTTTATCATTAGCATCTCTAACACAATGTCTGGCTGTCTTTGTCATTGTTTATGTCATTTCTAGGCAGAAGAACCCAAACAAAAAGTAATCGTAAATATATTTCTTTTTAAATTGTAGGGGCATGATTCATTTTTATTTTAAAATTCTTAATTTGCACTTTGACTTTGTTTTTCATTCAGCTATGATACTGCTGGAAACTCGACTGGGTCTTAGATTTTCCTCTATACGTTTTTTTTGGACAGAAAACAATCCAACCCCTTCACATTGTGTTCTGGTGGTGCTGCGAGGCGGAGGTGTGACCCAGATGCCCTTGCTGACTTTAACCAGGTGTCCTGCTTGGCCTTTAACATGACTTATCAGTGGCATGACCCCCGCTGAGTCGGGCCTCGTACCCTGCCATTTCCTCCCAAACACCGCCGGCACTGTATCATTTCCCTGTCACCAAATGACTGGCTAGCTGCTGTTGCGTGCTAATGAGAGGAAGAGAAGGCAGATGAAGAGAAGCTACAGGAAGACTGCTTCTTCATTTCCCCCCCGTGCAATACAATGCACAGAATCAATCCTCCATCCTCCATTTGTCTGTCTATAGCCACTTTGGCTGCAGGGAGAAATTAAGAGCAACACAGCAGTTATTAGCGTTGGAGAAAATCTTTTTGAGAGTGCACACATGCACAAAAACCCACCAGTGTGATTCAGTGGGTGTAATTTATACATCATTATGTCATTTTTTTTTTTAGTTTTAGCAAAAACAAAGTATAACAAATAAGCTGTTTTGAATAATAAATGCTGCTTAGTTTTTCTTTAGTAGCTTTATCTCCTATTGGTTTCATTAAAATCCCACTTCTTCTACAAGATCTCAACCTTGACTTTAGATTTCCCGCAATACTTTAATACATCCTTGACATGCAAGAGGCTTCAAAGCATATGAATCCTCACATCCACAATTCTCTCAATGTGTATTCATAATCACATTCAAACTTTAATCTGCGCACCCGTCTCGGTTTTTAATTAACCTCAGTTAAATCAGTTTAAAAAGATAACATTTTCGATAAGATGACTGTTTCTTTACACTCATTTAAAGTTAAAGGTTTTATTTGGTTCGTATTAAGTTAATCAGATGCTAACAGAGAATAGGGACAGATAAAGGATGGGTAATCTAATGTGTTGCTTTCTCATACAAAGCTATCGGTGTCTTTGAATAGGTTTTTCCAACAGGCTCGGCTGAATGAATTACACTAGTCTGTTAGTATTCTGCCTCAGCCGTACAAAAGGTCAATGTCAAATGCACCTCATTTAAAAGTCAATAGCAACCATGCACATCATCTCCTGGGAATTCTGTCCGGGAACCCTCCAGACAGCATTGTGTATCATTCAGTTAGCAGAGGGCAGCCAGAGAGCTTTTTTAATCTTGACCTTCCAATAAAATATGCTCCCTATCCAGAATTACATGGTCTAAAATGGAGACATAAGCTCCCAACAAATCATGGCCAGACTCAAGGGAAAGGTTCAACAGTGTCGGACACAGACACAACAGGTTCAACACCGACCAAACATGCATCTCTACAAAGTTTATGCATCTTAAACAAATTCCCACTCTCTAATAACAGAATTATAACAGAAACCGAATATCAAACAATAACAGGTTTACAAAAAGTGTTATAATATTAATTAGAGCTAAAAAGTAGTAGAAGTAAAATTATTGCATGATACAGTCTGCTTTAAAAAAATACAGTTTCTTTTAACACTTTTGGCACAGTGATGTCAGTAAATATCATAAAATACCTGTTATTTCCATATTGGCTCACACAGACAGCAGCAATGCAACTCCAGCTACAATCCACTTGGCAGGAGGTTGTTTGGTTCGCAGGTGGAGGGACCAGACATACGTGGGCCCACGCTGCTTGGTGCGGTATACGGGACACTCAAAAGTATTTTTGAGCTCCTGCTCCTCTGCAGGCACAGCTCTGACATACAGCACCGGCATGGCTGGAGTCAGATCTCTTAATATCGCCTCGGAGATGAGTCCAGACTGAGTGTCCCAGCGTGCTCCTAAGGGAACATAGGATGTTACATGTTGTACTGTGGGTTTAACTGATGATACTTACCAAAACAGGCAGAAAAACACTGTCAGAAATCTATATAACTTAAGTCAGTGCAGCAGGATGCATTGCAGAGATTGTGGGGTTAAATAATTCTGACCTTCCATGAAGAGTCCGTGGATGTAGGCCCCCTCTCGAGGAGGATGTCCGAAGTCGTCTTTCATCTTCTTTGTTACATCCACAGTCAGAGTCATCTTGTCCAGGGGCCACTGGTTCTTGCGAGCGATGCTCTGCAGCACAGCTGTAACATGATGCTGCATGTTAATATTTCTGGTGCACATGCTGTCAAGACCCTCGCAGACTAGAAACTCACCGGTGAGGAAGGACTGTGGGTTGAAGAGGCCCGAGAGCCAAACAACTGCAGGTAGAACAAAGTCTTGAGTCCAGCTGTCCAGCTCATGACAGCTACACACGAGATCATTCAACCTAAAAAACAGACAATTACTGATCAACCAAAGTCTGATACACACCTAATATTGGCCTTAAATTTGAAGACATTTATCAAATTTATCGACATAACATTTGCTACAGTGAACGTGCAGAAGATTGACTGAGAAGTCACCATTGTGCCAGTGTTTTAGTGGAGGGATAAGCCAGTCTGGCCCAGGAATGTGGGACAGAATCATTGAACAGTGCTGACTGCAGAGTCTCCATACTGGAGGAGATGGTGAGTTCTCCCTGTGGACAGAGAAATCCTCATTATGGCTGCAGGATATCATTGATATTACTGTAGAAAGTTGTGCTGGCAGCTCACCTTTAACCCAAGGTCTAGCTCACTGAGGGACTTCCGTATTTCTGCTAGCAGAACATTCATGCGTTCACACTCCTGAAAGCACACTAAGATGTAGGGGCTTCGTTCTGCTGTCTTTGCGATCATCTCTGCCATGTTATACTCCTCTGGAAGCTTGTTGAGGATATCGTCGATTATAGACGTGACCTGGTAAATACAATAAACTTAGTAAAGGATGGGTAACTCTCAGTAGATTTTCTCCCAGAATGGTTGCTGCTGCCTCCACACCTTCTCCTCCGTGCTCTGAGCTGTCCCCTCTCCACTCGAGGAGTCCCTCGGTTGCAGCTCCAGCAGAGTCTTCAAAAGGTTGTCCGAGGTGACAGTGAGGCACTCGAGCTCAGCGTTTGGATGGAGGCCGTACAAAGTGGGGTTCTCAGAG